CTGCTGACAGTAACCCTGATCATCTGGCTGGGGTAGTGTCTGTCAGCTTTCTCCATTGTAAAGTTATTCTTTTTTCATTTCTTAACGAATATGAAGATGAATTTATGTTTACAAATTCATCTCTCTTTTTCTAAGTCACTTCTAGTTTAATCATAGCTGATGAAGATTTTCTTGAAATGTGTTAGAATGCTAAACTGGAACAGTGAGATATTAAGCTACAAATTCTACATGATCTCACTGTTCTAAAAATGATATATGAATATGTATAGAAAAAAGACTGGAAGAAATAGCCCCAATTTGTATTTTCTCCTTTATACTTTCCAAACAAGTTCTGCAGTGATCAATTCTTCTAAAATATAGAAGGAGGAAGAAAAAAAAGAGAAAGGGAAGAAGCTCTTTGTTTGGGACAGGCTCAGGAAAAAATATCCGAGTCCAAAAATACATACATATATATCAGAGTCCTGAAAGTAACTGTAACACAAATGCAGTGCTCAGAATGGCAGCAGCCTGCTCAGAAACCTGGTGTTTGTTGGGAGGATAATATCGTCAGCTGATTTTCTTTCCTTAAAGAATAGGGAAACCAAACTATTCTTCACATAGGAAAACTTAGTAACGGGGTGAAATAGAGATTGAGAAAAGAAAGAAAGGAAGAGAGGGAGGGAAGGGGAGAAAGGGAACAGCAAATGCAGGTCGCGGGGAGAGGGAGAATGTTTTGTCCTGCTTTATTGCTTCCCTTCAAAGTACCCAGTGCCACGAGATACCAGGTGATATCCTTTATTCATTACTGATATTCACTGGTTCCAGCCCAGTCACTTTCTAATGTGCCTCCCAATACCAAAAGCACGCTTTCCTAGAGCAAGTCCAAAATATTACCACCTCTTGAACATACTAACATTACTCCTAGAAGCCATTCATCCAAACGGCACCACATCCCTCCCCTCTCCCTGTAGCCCCCTGTGTCCTCCCTCAGGTCTGGGCTCCTTGTGTTGCTGTGGGCCTCTCCCAGCCCCACTGGGGCCTGCTCCACTCAGGGTGTTCCTCGCCAAGGAACTGATGGATGTACTGTCAGTAAGGTGTCAATAACTGGCAGCTGCCCAGGAGTTGCTGCTATACCCAGTATGAAGTACGTACCCTTAGAAGGGGGAAAGACCCGTATCCTCAAGGTATAAATCTCCAATGGGAGGAGGCAGCTATCATGACCCAGGAGAGCAGGATAGATATGCACCTCCCAACACACACACACACACACTCAAGAGAGGCTTTGCCCACCCTTCGAGTCATGTCACATAGGTAAGAATTTTGTTCCAGTTACACCGAGTGAGCCCTGGGCAGAGGAACAAGCCCACCCAGCCTTTAGGGAGAAAGCAGCAGCATAAAAGGCTCCTGGGCGAGGTCAGACAGACTCCATGAAACAGACCGCGCCCGGCAGGAGAAACTGCAGATTTACACTCCACAGAGGGTGAGTTGGACAAGACCGAGGGAGGGTCCTCAGCAGTGCAGAAGATTCAAACTGCTCACTCTGGACGGTAGAAAATAAAAAGAACACAACGGCCTTGCTCCACAAAGACTCCATCTGAAACGTGCTCCCTGTCACAGCCACCTGCCTTTCCATTTGGATTCGAGGTTCTGTCTCATTAAACAGAAGAGTTGATTCAGTTGGGTCCATCTAATTATTCTTATTAAAATATGTAACCATAATATTTTAATTGTAAATTAAAGTTGCATGCACGAATGAATCCGAATTCATTTCAATTTTACAATGGCCCAGTGCCAAGGCCTTTTTATGGGGAAGATCCATCAGCTTGAATACTGCTCTCCTGGGAATTCAAACCAATGTGCAAATGGAACATGTTTAACTAACAAGGGAGACTCTCACTCCCTTTTCTTCTCTCTCTAGATTTATTGTGGTAATAAAGCTGTTTTAACAAGAGAGACTGCATTTGATTCCTCACTCCCCCATCTTTTTCAAAATTTCAGAATATTAACACCCCCCAAAAAAAATATTAAAAAAAAATAATTACCAAACTCAAGGGTGGTACCACCACTGAGGTAGAACCCAAATGTCACCCCTGGGTTGTATGAATCTTGAACAAAGATGGCAAATGGGTCTCAAATCACACGCCAATCTCATGAATAATTAATACTACGGTATGAGCACTGCACCCTTGGTCTAGATTATAGAACAATCCGTGATACTGATTTTTTTTGTTCTTTTGGTTTTTTTGGAGACAGGGTCTCACTCTGTCACCTTAGGTAGAATGCCGTAGCATCATGAGAGCTCACAGCAACCTCAAACTCTTGGGCTCAAGTGATCCTCCTGCCTCATCCTTCCAAATAGCTGGAACTATATGCACCTGTCACAATACCCGGTTAGTTTTTTTCTCTCTTTAGAAAACTCTTGCTCAAGCTGGTCTTCAACTCCTACGCTCAAGCAACTACCTCAGCCTCCTGAGTGCTGGGATTATAGGCGTGAACCACTGCGCCTGGCCCATGATATTGCATTTGGCCCTCACTAATTTGAGTAGGTGGGACCCAAATTATTTTCCACTAAACAACAATCAGCCACGAGGGCACTGAAAGGCTCAACCAATACCTGCTGTGCTTCTAACTGGCATTAACTACAGTGTGCTGTTGGGATAGACAATGTGATAAAAATACCTTTTATAATTGAGGCTTTCTGAAACCTCTTCTTACCTTCCAAGCTGAGGACTGAAGGATAAGGTGAGAAGTTAGCCAGTCAACACAGTGTGAAGGCTAGGGGAACAGACTACTCTAGGCAGTGCGAAGACTCGTGTGAAAGTCCAGGGGATAAGAGTATGTAGAGCAATCAAGGCTCTGAAGTAAGGATGGAGACGTGCACAGGGCAGGGCATGTGGGCAGGAGATAAATCTGGGGAAAGAAGCAGGTTTGGATAAAGGAGTCCTCAAACTTTTTAAACAGGGGATCAGTTCACTGTCCCTCAGACCGCTGGAGGGCTGGACTGTGGGCCTTGGGATGAGTCGGCTGCTAAGCAGGATAGGCAGCGGCAGCAAAAACACCAGGCAAGTCGGATAAATGTCGTAGGCAGGCCGCATGTGGCCCGCGGGCCGTAGTTTGAGGACGCCTACGTGTAGGGCCTAGAAACCACTTGCAGGTACTTTGACTTTGTTTTAGGAGCAATAGATTAGAAGCCAGGAGATCATTCTGGCTACATGTAGAAAATGGATTAATGTGTGATGAACAGTAATATATCGTAGTACATCTGGAATATAGCTGTGCTATGTTTATTTCTTACTAAGACTAAAGTAAATTTCTAAACACTTTATCTCTTTCTCTCACACTATTTTTTCCTTTTTCATTGAGAGATTTTGCAGTTTAAAATTCCTTAATGTTATAATATCAGTATGTAGCTAGTTCTAAGAAAGGATCTTTTCAAGGTTTATGGCATCTTCCTTTAAGTAGTTGTCTAAAATCTGTGTCTAGTTTTTATTTGCGGAACGGAGTATGTAATAAAAACCAACTGATTAAGCCAACCAACCAAAAAAAAAAAAATGTTTCTTATAATTAGAAAAAAGCTTTTTATTGGCATCATTGATGGGCATTCCCCATACCACCAGAAGAAAAACTTTTAAACTGTGCCTTTGAGGCTCGGCACCTGTAGCATGGGGGTTATGGTGCCAGCCACATACACTGAGGGTGATGGGTTCAAACCTGGCCCAGGCCAGCTAAACAACTGCAACAAACAAAACAAAATAGGCAACTATAGTCCTAGCCACTTGGGAGGATGAGACAAGAGAATTGCTTAAACCCAAGAGTTTGAGGTTGCTGTGAGCTGCGATGCCGCAGCTCTCTACTGAGGGCGACATAGTGAGATTCCGTCTCAAAAAAAAAAAATGTGCCTTTGAAATAGTGCTGGTGGTGGGCACGACCCTGCTCACCCAGTGGCATCAGACCTGTGCAGAGGCGTGGTGAAGAATCCTCCTTACCCGAAGAAGTCTAGCCTTTGCCCTCAGCTACCAGAACGTGATCTCTAGGACCCAAGAATGAGCCAACTGTTGGGAACTTCTCTGTCTTGGGCTTTGGCCACGGATAGTCTAGAGATGTGATTATGATGGATGGAGTCTTTGGGCCACACTGCAACAGGTCTGACCTCCAAAGCAAATGATACTAAAGGTATTAGTGTGACCCCCAGGCAGGGTAGAGACAAAAAAACAGCCAGGCGGAGCATAGTAGCTTATGCCTATAACTCGAGCACTCTGGGAGGTAAGAGCAGCCTAAACAAACACAAGACCCCATCTCTACCAAAAATAGAAAATTTAGGTGGGCATTGTAGAGGGGGCCTGTAGTCCCACAACTCAGAAGGCAGAGGCAGAGGCAGGAGGATTGCTTGAGCCCACGTGATGGAGGTTGTCATGAGCTAAGCCGGCACCACAGCACTTTAGCCTGGATGACAGAGGGAGACTCTGCCTCCAAAAAAAAAAAAAAATTAAAAGAAAACCAAGGGCTCGGTGCCTGTAGCACAGTGGTTACACTGCAACAAAAAATAATCGGGCATTGTGGCAGGCAACTGTGGCCCCAGTTACTTGGGAAGCTGAGGCAAGAGAATTGCTTAAGCCCAAGAGCTTGAGGTTGCTGAGCTGTGACACCACGGCACTCAACCAAGGGGACATAATGAGACTCTGTCTAAAATAAAAAGAAAAAAAAACCAAGAAAGACCAGAGGGAAACTATTCAAAGCAAAGGTAGGAGACAGAGCCTGGAGGAATTCTGAGTCACGGGAAAGATATGTTTTATGAGCAGTGGATGGGTGAGCAGTCATGGGAGCCAGGTGAGCAGTCATGGGAACCAGGAAATGAAGGCACAGCATGGGCCACAGTGGCGGGAGCGGCTGCGGGAGACAGGAGCGCTGCTCTTTGATGAGCCTCCTCCAGGATGCCACAGACCTACAGTGAATGAATGAAGAGCTAACCTGTGTGAGCCAAAACACGTGTATCATTTATGTTTGGATTTGTGATGACATACCTCCTTTTGTTGTTCTGGAAACATCTTCAGCACAGGACACGATCAATCTGAAAAATAAGATAACCACAGTAGGTGATTTGGGATTTGGAAGCTCCAAATGAAGCAGCTACGCCCCTCACAGCCCTGAGACACTCGCCTCCCAGTCCTTGACAGGCAAACCTCCGTCCCTCCCTCACTCCCAGGCACTGCTAGTGGGGCTGAGGGGAACACCATCCACACTGGGGATGGGATGCCTGGACCATGGCAAGTCTGAGGCAGTTGGATGACTATAGACCTTAAAACTACAAGGCTTAGAGAATCAGAGCAGCCCTGAGGGTAGGGGATTGGCGGGGGGGGGGGGGGGGGCAAGAGAAGGGGAGGAATAGAAATGCCACCCACAGAGATCCACCACTAGGAGCAGCCCAGAAACTCAGCTCTTCAAGGACCAGGTCATCCCTGTGACATTGAAACTACTTCAAAGGTCAGACGAGAAATGATGTGGCCCATGGTCAAGGGGGGTCATGGTCACAACCTTGCTTCCCACCCTGCAGTCAGTGCAGCAAGGCTGTCTCTTGATTCCAGGTCATAGATGTCCCTGGGGTTGTCTATTGTTCTTTAAACCCATTTATTACATAAGCTCACTGGAGTTAACACCTGCTCCCTGACAAAAAAGAAATTTTAAATTCCCTGCTTACATCCACACATATTTATTCTTACAACTGAAGGGTGACTATAACTACAGGTTCAGTCCAGACCCAATTTCTAAATACATATTATCACTCATAAATATTTCCAGAGTTTCTTCCAATGTTCTTGGCAATGTAGGGAACGCAAGAAGCCAGAATACAAGCTCCAGCCTCCAGGCCCATCTGGAGTCACTGACAAGGTGACTTCATAACTATAAAGTTGAAAGGAAACGACAGAGAAGCCTATTACAAGAACATCCAATACAGATGCAACAGAGGACATCATGCTAAATGAAATAAACCAGGCAGAAGAAGGTGAATACTGTGTGATTCCACTGACACGAAGTACCTGGGGAAGTCAAATTCAGAGACAGCAAGAATGGTGATTGCCAAGGGCTGGGGGGAGAGAGGGATGGGGAGCTGTTTAATGGGTCAGAGTTTCAACAGTACATGATGAAAAGCATTCTCAAGATTGGTCCCACAGCAATGGGAGCTTTTTTTTTGTTTTTTTTGAGACAGAATTTCACTCTGTTTCCCTGAGTGTCCTGGTGTCATTGTAGCTCAAAGAAACTTCAAACTCTTAAGCTCAAGAGATCCTCCTGCCTCACCCTCTCAAGTAGCTGGGACTATTGGTGCCTGTCACAATGCCAGGCCAGTTTTTCTATTTTTTGTAGAGACAGGGTCTCAATCTTGCTCAGGCTGGTCTGGAACTCCTGAGCTCAAGATCCTTCATCCTCCAGACTGCTGGGATTATAGGCGTGAGAGAATGCACCTGGCCAATGTGAACATACTGAACACTACTGACATGGCACGCTGAGAAAGGTTGAGAAGGTAACTTTAGGTTATGTGTATTGTACTCCAGTATTTTTTAAAATGTTTAAAAGAATGGAGGGACTAAAGAGAGGAGGGGGCTTTACTGAGAAAGTGACACTTTAGCTGAGGCCTAAAAGACCAGTGTGATTTAGCCTGGAAAGCAAAAGGATAAAGACGCTCTAAGCAGAGGCCTGGTGCAGGGGAGGGGTGCAGGCCGGGAGAAGTGGCTCTAATAACCCCAGGATCTGCACTGCTTCCAGGTCGCAGTGACTTCCACCAGCCAGGGATCCGGCCATGTCCCCTACACACGCCACGCTGCCCCACCCAGCTAGACCTCTGCCCAGCTGAATCCTCTACCCTCACGCCTTCACCCTTTCCAGACACCAGTGAACTGCAGTCATCTTCACTGTTCTCCACAGAAATGTCTCTCCTGCCTGGCTCTCTGTCCCATCACACAGCAGAGCGCTCCCCAGTCCTCAGTTAATATTAACCTCACTTGCATCATATCTGTATACGCTCTGTCTCTTTCGTTTTTTTGTTGTTGATTTTTGTTTTGTTTTGTGACAGTATCACTCTGTAGCCCCTGGGTAGAGTGTCAAGGTGTCATAGCTCACAGCAACCTCAAACTTTTGGGCTCAAGTAATCTCCTTGCCTTAGCCTCACCAGTAGCTGAGACTACAGGTGCCCAGTCACAACACCTGGCTAGTTTTTCTATTTTTAGTAGAGATGGGTCTCACTCTTGCTCAGGCTGGTCTCAAACTCCTGAGTTCAGATAATCTACCCACCTCGGCCTCCCATACTGTTAGAATTACAGGCATGAGCCACCACACCTGGACTGTCTTTCCCATTTGACTAAATTTTTCCAACAATGCATATATAATGTTTCCTGGTGTCATTAAGGTTCGCAAGCTTAATGTGAGGGAGATTGAGTATCGTCACTTCGCAGATAAGAAATGGAAGGTCAGAGGGGTTCAGTTGTGCAAGGTCACACAAAGTCGGAGAGTGAGAGAGCTCAAGTTCAACTTCAGCTAAAGCCAGTCTGCTTCCCAACACTGCCATTCCAATGCCTGAGGCTGCCTCTGAGACTGTGAAATGGACAAATGGTTCAGAGTTAGGGTCTTAATTTTCTCTGAGGGATTAAGCTTTTCCCACCATGCCAACCCATTTACTAAAAAGATGGAAATTAAGTGATAACTCAATGGTATGACTAAAGATCAAAGTTCAAAGCCAATCAGAAACTGTCCACTGATAGAATTATGTCCTTTAGGTGGGTTGTACCATTTTAGATTTGCCTAGATTCCCATATTACCAGACAATCCTGTATGTCTGTCATAATAATGTGCACAGAGAACTCTTGTCTCCCTGAAAGATTTTCACACCAACAGGATGGGTGTCTATTTCCAGGTGACTATCAGCTAGGCTGCCTCTGGAGTATTTTATCCCCCCTCCACCCTGAGGAACCATATCACGCTTGGATGGCCACCCATTCGCCTCCCCTCTTAAACTTCATTGCAAGACGTATTAAATCTCAACCATATCAAACAACAAGGATCTTGCAAACCTGCTTGCCATATTACAGTCGGACACCCACAGATGACAGACATGCATGCTGTCCCCTCCCTGGGACACACGGCAGCTCTGTAGACTCATCTAAGAGACTCGCCATGTCTCGCACATCTCCATCACTGCCTCAAGAGCATGATACACAGATTTGCCAAAACCAAGATCTTTAAGAGAAAACTGCCTCCTCTATTTTCTATCTTGGAATTTTTTATTCCATAAAATGTAAAACATCTGTGAAACAAAGATGACACTCCATAGAGCAGGGGAGGGATAACCTTTCCTATAAAGGGCCAAATGGTAAGTATTTGAGGCTTTTCTACCTGTGGTAAGAAAGTATTCACGTTCACAGATGATGCCCAAATGAAAGAACAAGGCTGGGTTCCAGTTAAAGTTTATCTATAAAAACTAGTGGCGGGCCAGGCACAGTGGCTTATGCCTGTAATCCTAGCTCTCCAGGAGGCCAAGGCAGGTAGATTGCCTGAGCTCACAGGATTGAGACCAGCCTGAGCCAGAGCAAGACATCGTCTCTAAAAATAGCTGGGCATTGTGGCAGGCACCTGTAGTCCCAGCTACTTGGGAGGCTAAGGCAAGAGAATCGCTTAAGCCCAAGAGTTTGAGGTTACTGTGAGCTATGATGCCCCAGCACTCTACTCAGGGGGACAAAGTGAGACTCTGTCTCAAAAAAAAAAAACTGGTGGTGGTAGTGTGTACACCCCTGCTGTAGAGCAAACAAGTAATATGCCTTTAATACCGTACCTTCATAAAGCCTTTACTGAGAACAACAGAAAGACAGGCTACGCTGGGTTGATAGCCTGTGGGCACTCTCCTCTCTGACAAGTAAGCTGCTGACAGAAAGTCTGTAGATTACATAGTTGAGTAGAGTAAAGAAGGATTGCAGATTTGTTCAAATGATGAAATAAGTGATAACAAATATGGTTTGTACAATTCTTTAAACCAAAAATGGCAAAGGCTCTGTTACCAAAACCACAAAGGGTTTTTGGCCTAGATCCAGTTATTCACTACAGCCAACGACTGAGAAGACAAGGATTGCCAAAGGAAATTTTAATATGAAGGACGTCTTGTGAGAACTGAAGAAGCAAGCTAAAATCCATCTCCCCCACCAACGGAGAGTATGGGCTTTTTAAGGAGGGGCTGTGTGCTCTGGGACAGGTTGTTGTGGATGTGAAGCTTAGCATGAAGAAGTCTACCTGGGAGCCTTCAGAATCTCAGCCACTTTGTCTTACAGAAATTCCCTCATTTCTGAGAAACAACTCAGGAAGGTCAAGTGTTAGTTAAAAGTTTCAAGGTTCTGGTCATCATGCCCAATGAAAAAACAAGGCTGGGTTCCAGTAAAACTTTATCTACAAAAACTGGTGGCAGGCCAGGCCACCAATTATCTGCCTGAGAATCTAAAACATGAGGAGGAAAGGATTATATAAAACACATAGGGTCAGTGTGGCACCTATGCCTCTGTGGGGAGGGCACCAGCCCCATATACCGAGAGTGGTGGGTTCAAACCTGGCCCCAGCCAAACTGCAACAAAAAAAACAGCCAGGCATTCTGGTGGGAGTCTGTAGTCCCAGCTACTCAGAAGGATAAGGCAAGAGAATGGCCTAAGCCCAGGAGTTGGAGGTTGCTGTGAGCTGTGATGCCACAGCACTCTACCAAGGGTGATAAAATGAGACTCTGTCTCTTAAAAAAAAAATACATAGGGTGGGCTCAGTGCCCATAGCACAGTGGTTATGGCACTGAGGATGGCAGGTTCAAACCCAGCCTAGGCCAGCTAAACAACAATAACAAGTGCAACAACAACAAAAAAAATAGCTGGATGTTGTGGCAGGTGACTATAGTCCCAGCTACTTGGGAGGCTGAGACAAGAGAATCAAGTAAGCCCAAGAGTTTGAGGTTGCTGTGAGCTGTGACTTCACAGCACTCTACTGAGGGTGACAAACTGAGACTCGGTCTCAACGTAAAAAAAAAAGGCTTAGCATCTGTAGTACACACAG